GGCGGGCCGAGGCGTGCTAGCCGCGGAGGCGCCGCTCTCCTGGGCCCGCCGGACCTGAGCGGACGGCGGTGGCAGGTACGTCAGCGCCCGCGCCGGGCTCCCGAGGCCCGCCCGCTCCCCACCCGGGCGGCCGCGGATGCCCGAGGCCCCGCGACGGGCGACAAGCGAGGCGAAGAGAGGCTGCGCGGGCCTGGCCGGGCCTCGGCCGCTACGCCGCGTCGGGCGGACCTGAGGGGTCTACGGGGTGGGCGGTGTAGACAGGCCCGTGGAGTCCGGAGCGCTTCGGCACCTAACCCGGACGCGTGTAATTCCGGGTGTGCATCCAGGGGGCGCCGGCGTCGGGTTTCGGCGACCTCGGTTCTCAGCTGCTCCGTCTGCGCCTGTCGCCCCGCTGTTTAGAAGCGGCAGCCCCGTGTGTACCCGGATCCTGGAGGCCCCCGGTCGTTGGGGGGGGGGGGGCGGCGGCCTTGACCTGTGTGTCGGCACGTGTGAAGGTGCGTCTCAGCTTTTTCCGATTCTGCAGGACGCCTCCCCGCGAGACCTTAGAGTCGACTCCGGATGCCGGCCCAGTGGTCTCGCCCTGGAGTCGGCCTCGGTCCTCGGCCTCCGTGTGTAGGAAGGGAGGGGCTTGGAGAGGAGCAGTGCTCTCCCCAAGATGAAGAAATCTGCAGATTTCGTCCTTTTTTATTACGTTTGTTTGTTTTTGAGTCGGGGTCTCGCTCTATCCCCCAGGCTGGAGTGCAGTGGTACGCTTACGGCTCACTGCAGCCTCCAACTCTTGGGCTCAAGCCATCCTCCCAAGCAGCTGGGACTACAGGCGCGTGCCACCACGCCAAGCTGATTTTTTTTTTTTCTTTGTAGAGACGAGGTCTCTCTATGTTGCCCAGGCTGGTCTTGAACTCCTGGACTCAAGCGATCCTTTCACCTCGTCCTCTCAAAAGCGCTGGAATGACAGGCATGAACTGCCACGCCTGGCCTAGTCCATTTTAAAAAATGTTTTTTATTTATGTAATTACTTCACCCAGGTAGAGTTTACATACGATACATTCACCTGTTTTAAGTGTGCCGTTCAGTGGTTCTTAGTAAATTTCCTGTTGCGCAGTCATTGGGGCTATCCCCCTGTAGAACCTTTCCATCACCCAGGAAGACTCCTGTGCCCATGTGATCAATGCCCACTTCTAACCCAGCTCCAGGCAGTGGCTCATTTGCTTTCTCTTGATTTGCTTTTCTGAATATCTCATATCTTCAGATCAGATCATGTGATAGGTGACCTTTTGTGTCTGGCTTCTTTCAGTTGCTTTCAAGCTTTGTCTGTGTTGTAGCACGGATCAGGACTTCCTTTTTACAGTCTAATAATAATTTTTCCCTCTCAATTTAGATTAGCCACGTTTCAGTGCTGAGTAATGTTCTATTGTGTGATCGTGTCATGTTTTGTGGAAGCATTCATGCAGAGCACCTTCTGCAAATAAATTTTTAGTTGATGCTCCAGCATGTGACGCAAATGGCAGTGGATCTGATCATTAGGTGGGATCTGATCATCACAGGCCTGAGCTGGCCTGTGGCGTCCCCAGAGCTCTCCCGAGTAGTCAGGAGTTGGCCATGTCTGCATGAAATGAGATTGCTCACGCGGTGTTCGCAGATCCCTGGATGCTCCTGGGATGCAGTGGGAGCTCTTCTGGTCAAGAGGCCAAGGTATGAGGGGGACCCAAAAAAACCCCCAGAATTATTTATAAACAATTGTGCATTTATTCTGACATGTTTAAACTTCAGTCCCCTTCATGGTACTGTAAATCTCCTATCATGAAATAGGCAAACGCATTGAAAAAAATCTCCAAAAAAATTCACTGAGGTTGAGCCCAACCTCTCACAACAATGCTGGCTGATACATGGATGCCTATGGATTCCTAGGACTCTCACCTAGGGGGAAGCCTTGACTACAAGGGGCCTGCCCTCCACAAGATGATTCTGGGTTTTTTGGGTCCCCCTCGTATACTGCACATTACTTTTACTTGTGTTGCAGAAATCTGCTTGAGGAAACAACTTTAAAGTAAAATGAGAAAGGCGTGAAGTTTGGGAGGGACTCATGTATGGCTGGCTGATGACCAAAGGGTGAGAGATGACTGAAAGGGGGTGAGTGACATTGAAGGCAATGCAGACACAACAGACAGTGTTGCTCACCCTTGGCCTGTTGGCTCATTGAGCCGCAGGTCTCTAAACACAAGACTAACTGACGGACAGAATGAACCAGAAGAAATGGCTCTGCTGGGTGTAAGGATACATCTTTATTTTGCGGTAATGCGGTCTGGCATCGCTTAATTGTTAGCCTGTTAAACAATGTAAAGCAGCCAAGTATGCAATTAGTTATGGCTGTGGTGGATTTTCAGCCAACTGTTAATTGAACTGGAGCGTGCCCTGTCACAGTCTACACACAATTTCTCTTCTCTGGAGCTATTTCAGGAATCAGGGTCGGCTGCAGAATTAGGCGGTTAATGGATGAGTATAATTTTTGTGCTATTCCTTAGAATTCTGGCACAGATGACAAGTAGAGTACTCGGAACTGGGCAGAACAGTAGCTACCAGCAGATCAGGGAGTGCGTGTCTTCTGCTTGGTCTCCCCTTACATGAATCTCCTGAAATTTTACTGGTGGGATATATGGTTTGGACTGTGTCTATCCCATTTAGTATTTGATGTTAACTTTTTGTGATTATACCTGTAATAGTGGTATGATCATATGGAAAATTTATAGGTATAGAAGTACCATCTTTTAAGGGTATGTTTTTGTATGGAGAGATAACCAGGTCTTCTGCATAAAGAATTAATAGGAATTAAATCCAGTGAACACTTGGTGTCTCCAGTAACAGCCCTCAGCAGGCCCTGTGTGATGTGATACTGCAGATGGTAATGAGCCTTTCGGAATGAGCTAGCGGAAAGCTTACTGTTTTCTTTTTTTTTTTTTTTTTTTCTTTCTGAGTTGGAGTCTCACTCTGTCACCCAGACTGGAGTGCAGTGGCCGCTCCCGGCCAACGCAGCCTCGACCTGCTGGGCTCTGGCGATTCTTCCGCCTCAGCCTTCCAAGTAGCTGGAACTACAGGCGTGCACTACCACGCCCAGCTGATTTTTTGTTTTATTGTAGAGATGAGGTCTTGCCAAGTTGCCCAGGCGGGTCTCGAGCCCGCGGGCTCAGGCAATCCACTCACCTCAGCCTCCTAAAGCATGGGATTACAGGCTGAGCCACCGAGCCCGGCTGCTTACTGTTTTCAAAAGGAATCTTTTCCTGAGGCTGGCAGGTAGCTGAAGAGAGACTTTGCAGAATAGTTCCTAGGAGATGGATCTCTCTTAAGTTCTACTTGATGTAGGAATAAAATTAAATGTAACATGTTTGACTTTTCATGATGCTGTCTTACCAGAAAATTATTTTCTTTAAAATTTATTGTAAAAGCTTTATTAAGGTATTTAAATAATGTTTTATTTTGCTATAAAAAGTAGCATATTCTTTATGTAAAAATGTAAATACAATAAAGCAGAAAACAACTATAATCATACTATGGAAAAGAAATACCAATGTTACCATGTTGGTGTGTATCTTTCAGTGTTATTTTTTTCCTCCATTCACATAGACACATGTAAAAAAATACAAATTTGGATCAGATTGTACATGAACTATTTTACTTAATATTTTATTAGCATTTTCCCATATTCCTATTGCTACTGTAACAGATTACCACAAACAGTGGCTTAAATAAACATGAATTCAGACTGCAAATGCTTCATCTCAACTCATCTTTGACAAAACCTCCAACAACAACCAATGGGGAGAGGAGAACCTATTCAGTATATGGTGCTGGGAAAACTGACTGATCACATGTAAAAGATTGAAACAGGACCCCTACCTGTAGCCATATACAAAAATTAACTCTAATGGATCAAAGACCTAAACGTAAAACCTCAAACTATAAGAATGTTAGAAAATGCAGGAGACAGCCTTGTGGAAATTGGAACTGGCAGTCAATTTCTGATCAGAACCCTAAATGCCCATACCTTAAGAAATAAGATATACAAGTGGGACTTCATCAAACTAACGAGCTTCTACAAAGCAAAAGAAACTATCAAGAGAGCAGGGAGACAGCCCACAGAATGGGAAAAAAATTTGCCAACTGTATATCTGACAAAGACCTAACATCTAGGATCTACAAGGAACTCAAACGTGCCAAAAGGAAAAAAACAGCCCCATTAAAAAGTGGGCAAAAGACATGAATAGACACTTTTCAAAAGAAGATGTATGGGCAGCCAACAGACACATGAAAAAGTGCTCAACCTCACTTATCCTCGGAGAAATGCAAATCAAAACCACATTGAGATACCATCTAACCCCAGTAAGAATAACCATCATTAATAAAACAAACAACAGATGCTGGCGAGGATGTGGAGAAAAAGGAACTGCTGTTCAGAATGCAAACTAGTGTAACCTCTTTAGAAGACAGTGTGGCGATTTCTGAAAGAACTAGAAATTGACCTTCCGTATGACCCAGCAATTCCCCTATTGGGAATATACCTGGAGGAACTCAAATCATTCTACAAAAAAGATGCCTGCACATATATGTTTGTTGCAGCTCTGTTCACAACAGCAAAAACATGGAACCAACCATGTTGCCCATTAAAGCTGAACTGGATTAAAAAAATGTGGTACATATATACAATGGAATATTATGCAGCCATAAAGAAGGACAAACATGAACTTTGCCACAACTTGGATGACATCCAAGAGTCGGTCATAGTGATCTATCACAGAAACAAAGTACAGAGTACCATATATTCTCACTCATAAGCAGAACTTGAACAATTATAATACTAAAAGAAAGGGATTGGTGGTAGTGGGAAACTGTAGTGGGGGGGTTGGCAGTTGAAGGAAACTGCTAAGGGAGGGAGGGGCATACCTTATCAACAAGGGTACTTGCATGATCAGCGTTTGTATAACCGACCCTGAATTGTACCCCACATCTTAATAATAATAATAAAAAGGAATTTACTATCTTACAGTTCTGCAGGTCAGAAGTCCAAAATTCATCTGCTAGGC